GGAGAGCTGAATTCGAAATCTTTTGGCTGTGGGTAAGTGTAGAATTTCCCTTTAAAATTTTAGTTTCGTAGCTTTTCTCGTTTCCAACTTAGCGATTTTCCCGCCGAAATTTTCAGGTGCTCGCAACGTGAGTCGCAAAAGTGCATGAAAGATGATATCGCTTTTCCGAGACCGCAATGACCAGGGTACACACTGCCAAAATTTCAGCACTACTGTTTGTCTAGTTGACGGGTAAAAATACTCGGACAGACGAATACTCATACACACACACACACACACACACACACACACACACATAACCACACACATGCACGCACAAACACACAGACTAGGACGTCAAAATATGCGCTCTAGCGCTGCGCAGCAAAAGCACATAAAAACTGAATCCCTAATAAAAATCAAGCTGAGTACTTAGAGTAAATTAGCAAATTTTTCCGTCGGATCGTTTGTTTTATGAAAAATCTATGGAAAATCCCGAATTATATAATATTTAGCACGACTTGAGAGAAAAAGAAAGTTGCAGCCTACAGCCGAAATATTTTGGGTTTCACTGGTTACTACTCCTGCCGCTTTTCCTTTTCATGAAATGCAATTTTTACCACTGTTCGTTTCGTTCGAGTAGCCCGGTTAGCGGCAAACAGCAGTCCACTTGCTCGAGGAGGGATCATTTGCGTTGCGTGTTTCCGCTTTTGCGATTTCGTTTCCTTTGCAGCATTTTCTGCGACGAATTTCTCGCTCTCCCCGATTTTTTCATTCACTTCTTCAACAATCTCATCGGCTTCAGAAGTCTGTAAATCGGCTGAAACCACACACTGCACTCATCGGCCTTTAAAAAACTCGTTTAACTTTTTTGTACTTTAGTTAAAACACTTAATAATGCTATGCTACAGAACTATTTGACACCTGATGATAAATGATCACAAATTTTTGTTTTCAAAACGCTTTTAGTTTTTTGCATAGATGGGAAGTGGGAATTGGACAACAGCTACTGAGCAAGCCGTTTTTTTAGTTCTAAGGGTACCATAGAAATCTCGCGAAAAATCCGTAATTTTTAAAAAGGGGTTTTATGCAGAGTGCAGCAACAAGACAATACT